CCACTGGCCATGCATTTCATCAGTCACAAAAGTTAATCTCTGGTGTGGTTTCAGAAATCTCTCCCAATTCGTGCAAACCATAAAGAGTCTGCCAGCCTACCCACAGCAGGCAGCAAGCTTCATTAATCCATTCCTTGAGGCAAAAATTCTGAATTTGAGCTTGTCGTTTTCTTAGTTCATATTGGCTAATCCAAGGTTTTCTTAACCTCAATCTGAACAATTCTTTTGTCAGGGTTTGTTCAGTGTGTTAAGCAAAAACCATTGGCTTCTCGTCACTGGATACCAGCGGCATCTACCTCCCAAGTTACAACCAAAAATGTCCCTAGACATTGCCATAGGTTCCCTAAAAGTCACTGGAAACCATTCAACATGAGCTTGTCCACTGAGCCTACCTCAACTTTCCTCAGCTCCTTTAAATGTGTTTATTGCTACAGCTGTTTTGTCCCTAATGATTCCCTTTCAGTGGGTGATAACTCAAGTAGGTCATTTGCAATAATGCATTCTGTGGACTGCCATCTCCCATATCAGAATATTGATGAAATCCCCACCTTTCATTCTATCTCAGTCTCTGATTTAAATAGCTCAAAATGCCTCTTGTTTCTCTGTGAGTCTATTGCCAACTTCTTAATCCTAGTGCCAATTGTTCATTCCGTTCGGGAATTTGGGCTGCTAGCAACAGAAGTCTACTTTGAACTGTATTAATTAGACTCACTCTAGCTGTTGTAAAAGATCAACCCTATAATATCTGTGACTTTTCACAAAAGACTCTTTTCCCCCCTCTTTCACGTAAAACTTAAGATGGGAGTTTCTGAGTGGCAGGTGATACAGGGACCCAGAATCCTTCCAGTCTCAACATCTTCCAGATATGGCCCCAACGTGGTTCTGCTTCTCTGCTTCAAACCAACAAAAAGGAGGCAGAAAAAACACACACTCATTTCCTCAACTCGGATTCAGAAGACAAACATATCACGTTCATGTGAACGAGATGGATGGTTCCACCAAATCTGAGACTGAGAAATAGAGTCATTGGCTGGGTGGCCACTTTCCCACAATAATTATTCTAAATGGAGAGAGAGGAACGAGAGCTTTGGTGGAGAATCAGCCATTGCTGCTGTGCTCACATAACTCAGAAAGGGGGTTGTTTGAGGGATGCGCAGTTCACAGAACTGAAAGATGAGTTAACAAGGAGGCCTGGAAGGAAGGCAGAAACCAAAGGATGTCCACCTCAGCAGCGGGTGGTCCCTGTCTCCCTCTCTGGGCTGCTGCTTTCTGACAATCTGAATGGTTATGGACTGAATGTTTGTCTCTCCCACCCCAGCTTGTAAGTGGAAACCCTGACCCCCATCTACCCCCATGTAAGACACTGTTCCAGGTGTTGGCAATTCAGCAGGGGACAAAATAGATCAAAACTCTTGCTCTTGGGCTGGGGTTGTGTATCAGTGGTACAGCACTTGCCGAATATGTGAGGCACTAGGTTTGCTCCTCAGCACCACATTAAAAAAAAAAAAATGAAATAGAGGTATTGTGCCCATCTACAACTAGTGTGTGTGTGTGTGTGTGTGTGTGTGTGTGTGTGTGTGTATCTCCAACTCTCACTCTCATTGAACTTCCATTCTAGTGGAGTTGGAATTGGGGGTGGTGGTGTCAAAATCCTATTTTTAAAAATCTTTCCAATATAATCAGAGTCTATGAATACAACCGGCCTCAGGCTTGAGCTGACTCAGCTTTGTTTCAAGGATCTACATTTTGGATTTGCTTCTCTGGAGGAATTCTGTACTCAGATTCCCATCATCACAGCACACAGTCCAGTAGAAGAGAGGGAACATCTTACTCTCAAAGGTTTCAGTGGACATTTGATCTCCTTGTTACATCTTTATCACTGTTTTAGCCTTGTGCTGCTATAACAAAACACAAGGTATTAGCTAATGTACAAAGAAAAGAGGTTTATTTAGCTAATAGATTTGGAGATTCAAAGTGCATCCCCATCTAAACTACAATGGTTGAGAGCATCTGTTCAGCTTTGCAAGGGCCTTCTTGTCTACCTCACAACTTGGCACATGGCATCATGGCAGAAGTACTTTTGAGAAGGAACAATAGAAAGATCACAAGGTGAGATAGGAAGCAAAGACACATTCAGGGCCAGGCTTATTTAATTTAATTAATTTATTTAGTGGTTTGGGGGATTGAACCCAGGGGTCCTTTCCCACTGAGTTACCTTTTTTTTTAGTTATATATGGACACAATATCTTTATTTTTAAAAATTTATTTTTATGTGGTGCTAAGGATAGAACCCAGTGCCTCACACATGCTAGGCAAGTGCTCTGCCACTGAGCCATAGCCCTAGCCCATATCTTTTTATTTTTGAGGTAGGATCTTGCTAAATGGCCTAGGCTGGCCTCAAACTTGCAATCCTCCTACCTCAGCCTCTGACCAAAGTCCCCTGTGAATGACATTAATTCCTTCTGAGTCAAGCCTCCAATGACCTAACTACCTCTAAGTAGGCCACATATCTTGAAGATTCCACCACTTCTCAAATATCACCACACTGGGATTAAGCTTCCATCGGGGATACCCTCAAGCCATAGTCAAACCACACCATCACAATCACCACACCAATTTTTGTGTTTGGGAAATGGAATGTTCCCATTGGTTTAGGCCAGATGAAGTCCTTCCTGCATCCCCATCTAAACTACAATGGCTGAGAGTTGGTAGAGTGTGGTTCCTCAGGACAACTATCTTTCTTTCAATTGCAACATTTACATTTTACTTGTGTTTCAGGTCATTTTCAAGCACTGGTACAGAATAGTTAATGAGAGCAAGGATCTCACTTTTCCTGAATCCTGTTTTTGTCATTTGTTGGCCATGTAAACCTCGACAAATTAAGCACTCAAGATTCAGTTTTCACATCTGTTGAGATAATAGTTCTACCTCAGAAAGGTGTGACAAATATATTAATTAATGTACTACACTCAGAACACTTTTTTGGTACTGGGGTGCTTTATTACTAAGCTCCAACCCCAGCTCCTTTTTGTTTTCCCCCACAACATCTTTATTTTATTTATTTATGTTTATGTGGTGCTGAGGATTGAACTTAGGGCCTTGCACATTGGAGGCGAGCACTCTACCACTGAGCCACAACCCCACCCCCACCTCCTTTTTTTAATTAAAAATTTTTTTTCTTTTTTTTTTGACACAGGGTCTCACTAAATTTCTGAGGCTGGCTTTGAACTTGCAATCCTCCTGCCTCAGGCTCCTGAGCCGCTGGGATTATAGGCATGTGCCACCACACCCAGCTCAGAACACTTCTGGGAACATCTACTATTTTCAAGCAAAAGAGAAACCAGTTTAACAGTACAGGAAACACTGGATCACATAAGTGTGCAAACCTTCCGAAGTATCACCGCAACCCTCAAACATAGGGCAGATTGTTGATCAGAGCTTGCAAGATTTTTCTACAAATGTTCTTACTCAAATTTCTATGGACTCTCATTCCTATTTAGAAGAAGAGTGCCTGTTTTCCTATCTTCAAGCATTAAACAAAAGAAATAGGCTTCCCAAGTGAACGAATTTAGGTCATGTGCCTGCCCCTGAACCATTCACAGTAGCCAAGAAAATGCCTTGCAGTGATTGGTTTCCTTCCACATTCTTGCACTTAGAGGGATGGGATTATGTTGACTGCTAGTAAGAGCAACCCATCATGAACTCCTTGGCAGGGACACACCAAATGAGGCTGGCATGAATGCCTGCAAGAGAGGAAAAAGTTCACTGTTTGAATTTACTTGTAGTAAAATAAATAAATAAATAAATAAACCAATATAACTTTCCTACAATTACTCTTTTTAAGACACAGAAAAACTGCAGGAAAAAAACCCAAAATGGTCCACGATTTGGATGCTTATAACCATCTTTTAAGTATTTTTTAATGAAATACATGGCAACAGTTTGATGATTTGCTGTGTGATTATGTAAGAGAATGTCTCCCCGCCCCGTTGAGATACATTTGGAAATATTTAAGGGGTAAAGGGACATGAAACAATCAAAAGGCTCAACGATATATAAAAATCAGTTATATGTATGCATGTATACACATGTCTACATAGAAAATGTGGCAACATTAATATTTGGCAGATCTAGGTCAGGTTTTGCCACTCTGTATTTGAAATTATTTAAAACTGATAAGTTAAAAAAGAAGTTGAAGCGGCATAATAAAAATTTTGTGAACATATGTGTGGCTTCTACATGGTCTCATGACACAATTAAAAATATATGTAAATATCGAACCTGAAAAATGCAACACAAATCTGCTCTATGCCTCCCTTCCACCATGTCCAGAAACCCTTGCCAAGACCCTTCCTATGAGGAAAAAAATGCAAATCAATATTTTTATATAAAGACTTTTTTTTTTAACATGATGAGTTTTAGAATAATTTTGTAGCATTTAAGGCAGCAGCACAGGAAAAAGTCACGGGTCCACACACTGCAGAAACGCGGAACACCCCCAAACTGGGGCCGGCAGCAGCGGGGAACCGCCCCTTCGCGCTGCACGCCGGGACCTGGAGTTTGCCCACTCCAGCCTGCAAAGCGCTCTGGGATCGCCCGGCCACTCCCTCATCTCGCGAGGTTGTCCTCCCCTTCTTTTTAGCCGTCTGTTTCCCCCCCCCACCTCCCCGCCTAACGTGTTTTTCAAATCCACCAATGGGTGCATAGCTTAGGCTCGAACCAGCCAATCGGAGTGCGGAGTCACCGGGAAATTTAAATCGCGCCGGCCGGCTGCACGAGGCACACCGTCTCTGGGCTGAGCCGCGGTGGACGTTTGGAGGGCAGCTGATCCGCAACCTGTAAGCCCTGCACCGCCTCTTGTGGAAGCCTGAGCCCGCTGTGCAGGTACAGACTCAGGCCACAGCCGGGTCGAGCGAACGGCTGCCAGCGGGCCACCCTGGCCTTGCGGATGGCGGAAGGGAGGCCCGGGGTTTTATCTGGGCCTGGCCTTGGCCTCCCAGGTTGACGCTGCCTTGGGGCGTCGGTCGTTGATCAGGCGGGTTAATTTCGCAATGCGGGGTTGGGGCTCTAGGGATCTAGGCGCTGCAAACCGCAGCGGAAGCCCTAGCGCGTCGCGGCCCAGGGAATCCAGGAGACAGGACCGAGGGCGAATGTCCCGGGGTGTCAAGGTGGCCCTGGCCTCTCACCCATTCCCCGCTGTAGGTTCCCCTTGAAGGGGTTGAAGACACAGGGCTCAGAGGCTAAAGATGAGGATGAAGGTGGCAGTTGGGGAGAGATCTCTCCAACACATAGGCCCTAGGTAGGCTGTGTCACAGTGTCACAGCACCATGGAATTAAAGACAGCAGATTGTAAGGAGGGCTTTGACTTGTCATCTTTTGGAGTATGGTTTTAGGTGTCTTGAGTCTGACGCACAATTGATGTCATCCTGATTGGATACATTCACTGGAAATCTTTGGAAATGAAAATGCGTGCAAGATGCTGAAGATGCTGCAGCCCAATGTCACAAGTTTCCAGTGTTGGCAAGATGAAGCGATTTTTATTTAACTAGTGTGGACACTGGGCTTACTTTGATCATTTTAGAAGACAGTAGGGCAGGGAGCGCCTTCAGAGGCCTTCCAAGGACATAGGTTTTTACTGTAAGTCAACTGTGTTCCCCTACTTTGTGTTCCATTAACTAATGGACTTTAGAGTATATCTACACTGTCCAATGAGGTGGCGAGCAGAACTTGTGGCTACTGAGCACTTAAAAAGTGATAGTTAGAATTGAAATATGCGGTATGCTGTGTAAGACACACTGTGTGCTATGTGAAATACATATAGGATTTCCAAAATGTGTAAAAAAAAGTAAAATATCTCAATTTTTAATATTGATTCCATGTTAAGTAATATTTTGGATATGTTGTTAAAATATTAAAATTAATTTTGCTTGTTTCTTTTTGTTTTTATGTGCTTACTGGAAATTTTAAATTTATATGGCGTGGATTATATTTCTGATGCATAGTTTCCTTTTAGAGAGGCAGGGATAATTCTCTTGATTAAAACCACATCCATAGTGCTGGAAACTTGAAGTGCCTTCTTAGAGTAGAGGTGGATTCAATTTTTGCTTGATAATTCTTATTTGATTTTCTTATTGACAAAGCAAAATAATAACAGAATTTTTTTTCCTCCCATTTTTTTAGCTTTCTCCCTTTGCCTCATACCATGTCCACCAATGAGAATGCTAATTCACCAGCTGCCCGGCTTAACAGATTCAAGAACAAGGGAAAAGACAGTACAGTGAGTCTCTTCTGTTGTTTTTCTGTAGTATTTGTCAAATGAGAATATACTTGAGAAGGGGTTAAGACTTAGAAGGATTTTTTTTTTTTTAATGCCCTCACTTGGCAACAAAAATTGATGTGATAGGTGAACCGATCTCTTATCTTTTCTCAAGGAAATGAGGCGGCGCCGAATAGAAGTTAATGTGGAGCTGAGGAAAGCTAAGAAGGATGACCAGATGCTGAAAAGGAGAAATGTAAGCTCCTTTCCTGATGATGCGACTTCACCACTACAGGAAAACCGCAACAATCAGGTAAATATAATATAGTTCATGAATTATTACCATAATCCAGAAAATCAATATGGATGTTTCTTTGAAATTTACGTAGTAATATTCCATAGTATTATGGTTTTTACTATCAAATCAGTGAAGATTTTTTTCTGCTCCCAATCAGCAATTCTTATGAATATCTTCTTTCCTACTCATCCTCTATAATCTACTAAAGCTAATTCCAAATTCTTTTGAATTCTGACCTTCCTGCAGTTTCCCTGCATTTCTGGCTACTAGCTGGGTACCTTGACCTAACTGTGTTAGGTGTGTTAGTGTTAACTGTGTTCAGAACTAACCACTTTGCAACTTAATTCAGAATTTTTTTATGTTTTCTATTTTTATTCTTTTTTGTTTTTTTTTTTTTTTTTTGGTTTTCTTTATTACCAGTGTTCAAATCTTTTTCTTCCTGAAATATTTATGGTAACTTCCAAATTTATCTTATTCCCTTTATTTTGTGTCATATACTCTTTTCTTAAAATTTTTCCAACACTACAGTTGTGTGCCACACTGTTTCCTTTAACTAGACTGCAAATATGATGGTATTTCTATAGGATTATGTGGAACTGGAACAGGAATGCATAGCTAAAGAAGAGATAAGAGAAAAGAAAAACTGCAGGAAAAGAAAAAGAATTCTAAGGAAGTGAAGGATTTAACAGAAGTTTTTGCAGACCTCAACAAGCTTCTTAAAATGTTTAAGCTGAGCATTGGAGTTCCTGCCTATAATCCCAGCTATTTGAGAGTCTGAGCAGGAGGATTATAAGTTCAGGGATGGTTTGAGCAACCAACTTATCCAGAACCTATCGAACCTATCTCAAAAAAAAAGGGTGTGGGGATGTAGTTCAATGCCCCTGGGTTCAGTCCTCAGTATGAGAGGGGATCAAAAAGATGGACTCCACTACTGAAAATGACTAGAGAATGTTCATGGTACATTTTCTCCTTATAAGTAAACCTCTTATGAAAAACATCAAAAGCAAAACAACATGGGCACATTTCTGAAAAGAATGACTCCTCCTTAAAAAGAGCTTGAGCTGTGCATGGTGGTGCTCGCTTGTGATCCCAGCAACTCCCAAGGCTAAGGAAGGAGAATCAAGTTCAAAGCCAGCCTCAGCAAAATTGAGGCACTAAGCAACTTGGTGGGATCCTGTCTCTAAATAAAATACAAAATAGGGCTGGGGATGTGGCTCAGTGGTCGAGTGCCCCTGAGTTCAATCCCTGGTACAAAAAAAAAAAAAAAAACTTGAGGCAGGTCTTTCATGAAGTGTTCCAGAAGGCACTGTTACCGTAGGAAATGCCAGCTTCATGTACAATACCGCTCCAGTGGACCTATGTGGGCTGAGATGGGGAGGTGGAAGACAGTAATACATGTAGTGCTGACCCTGTACAGGCCTAGGCTGATGTGTATACTCATATCTTAGTTTTTAATTTAAAAAAGTACGTAAAGTTCAAAATTGAAAAAAGCTAATAAAATGAGGATAAATAAAAAGCATTGCATATCTAATGTGTTTTGTATTTTAAGATAAATTTTACAAAATCAAAATGTTCATAAATTATAGGAAGCTAAGTTTAATTATTTATTAATTTATTGAAGAAACATTTTTTATAAATTTAGAGTAGCCTAAGTGTACAGAAGTATATAGTTTAATGTCAGACCTTTGAATTCACTCATTGGCTCAGCCAGTACAACTTCTAGTCCTGCAAGCTCCATCATGTCAAGAGCCTTGTACCTTTTTAAAATCTTTTCTCTTGTACCTTTTTTACATTTAAATATGTCTGGATGCACAAATATTTGGCATTGTGCTAGAATTGCCTGTTGTATTCAGTACAATAACATGCTATATGGGTTTATAGCCCAGGAGCAGTAGTTATGTACCATACAGCCTAGAGTATAGTAGGCTGTACGTTCCAGGTTTGTGTAAGTACACCCTATGATGTTTGTATATGGATAAAAATCACCAAACAACACATTTCTCAGACTATCCCCAGCATTGAGTGATGCCTGTTACTGTTTTAGGCATGTTCTCTCTCTGCTAAAAATCAATATTCTATAAAGGCCCTCAATAAATTAGATCCAGTTAGATCTTCAGATATATCCCTTTCATCTTAAAAAATACTGGACACTGTCCTACACTTGAACTCAGGACCACTGACCCACATCCCATTAGAGACAGGGTCTCACTGAGTTGCTTAGTGCCTCACTTTTGCTAAGGCTGGCTTTGAACTCTGGATCCTCCTGCATCAGCCTCCTGAGCTGCTATTATTATAGGCGTGTGCCACCACGCCCTGCTCCTTTTAAATTATTTTTTAATTCTTCTTTTCTAGTTGTAGATGGACACAATATATTTATTTTTATGTGGTACTAAGATCGAGCCCAGGGCCTCACTCATGAGAAGCAAGCGCTTTACCACTAAGCTACAACCCAAGCCCCGCTTTTAAATTAAAAAAAAAAAATTATTTTTTGTAGTTTTAGGTGGACAGCATGCCTTTGTTTTCTTTGTATGTGGTACTGAGGATCAAACCCAGTGCCTCATGCATGCTAGGCAAGTGCTCTGCGGCTGAGCTACAGCCCCAGCCCTGCTCCTTTTAAATTTTTGAGGGTCTCACTAAGTTGCTGAGGCTGGTCTCCACTTTGTGATCCTCTTGCCTCAGTCTGCTGAGTAGTTGCAGTTATAGGCATGCAACACCATGCCTGACTCCTGCCTGCCTTTTCTAGGATTCTATTACTCAAATCCCTTCATCTTATAATAACCTAAGGCACTGGCAGAAAGTACTGAGTGAATGCTGTCTAGGAATATTTAAGTTTTTGGTATCAGATTTTGAACTCAGGAGCATTTCACCACTGAGCCACCTCCCTACCCCACCCCTGCCTTTTTTTTTTTTTTTTTTTTGTATTTTAGTTAGACATAGGTCCTTGCTAAGTTGCTCAGACTGGCTTTGAACTTGTGATCATCGTGTCTCAGCTTCCTGAGCCTGTGCCACTGTGCCTGGCCTATAACATTTATTTTATTTGTCTTCTTGTCACATTTTTACTGTTAAGTTATGAGTTCCTAGAGAAAGGGGCACTTTTGATTTTAGTACCTGGGATTGAATCCAGGGATGCTGAGCCACATCCCCAACCCTTTTTTTAAATTTTTATTTTGAGATTTACTAAATTGTTTAGGACCTCAGCCTCCTGAGCCGCTGGGATTACCAGTGACAGCAGTGGCACCCAGCCAACACTGTTGACAGAATGCTTAAATAACTTGAGACTCCAATGAAACAACAAATTTCAGAACTGTTTTACATATAAAATTAATATTTAGCAGGTAAGGTTAAATGTAGGGCCAAACTTTTAGTAACTTACTATAAATCTAAGTGTCTATAAACAATGGCAAGCATGGATTATATTTTTTAAATTTGGCCTTAAAATAATCTGTAAATTTCCCTTTTTCTTTCAGGGCACTGTGAATTGGTCTGTTGATGACATTGTCAAAGGCATAAATAGCAACAATTTGGAAAGCCAACTCCAAGCTACTCAAGCTGCTAGGTAAGTCTTATGTTCTCTAGTACGGGCAACCTTAAGATATTAAGAATTGTTAGAATTTTTTGGCAGGAAGGGGACAGCTTTAGGCTTATTTCAAATTTTTCAAATTTTTCCTAAGGTAAAACCAGGTATGGTGGCACACATCTATAATCCCAGCACCTCAGGAGACTGAGGCAGGAGAATCACAAATTCTAGGCCAGCCCAGCAACTTGGAGACCCTGTCTCAAGTAAAAAAAATAATAATAAAAGAACTGTGGGGGGGCAGTTATAGCTCAGAGGTACAGCACTCTGGGTTCAAGCCCCAGTACTGGAAAAATTATTTTTTTCTGTATGTGATACTTTTAACTATAATTTTCTATATTCCTTAAAATTCCACCTTCAGTGATTAATTACTGTTAACTTTTTGGTGTACTTTAAAAATATAAAAATTCTGTCTAAGTAGCATTTCAAGTCAAATTTTTTGCAAGGATGCAAAAATATTTTTATTTTTGGAATAAAGGTATTTAGCTGTACCACATATGTAGCACCATATGTCATCTCTTCAGCTTGTTATGTTCCTGGTTGTCTTCAGTATGTAGTGCTCAGCAGGTAGTGCTTGTTTAAAAGATTGTCTAAAGTTCTAAATGCTCAAATTCCATTTTAAATTGTTTTTTCACACAAATGTCTTCTGTTAATCACCTTTAACTTTTGTTTCTCTTTTTCTTTTCTCTTAGGAAATTGCTTTCTCGGGAAAAACAGCCCCCCATAGATAACATAATTCGGGCTGGTTTGATTCCAAAATTTGTGTCCTTCTTAGGCAGAACTGATTGTAGTCCTATTCAGTTTGAGTCTGCTTGGGCACTCACTAACATTGCTTCTGGGACATCAGAACAGACCAAGGCAGTGGTGGATGGAGGTGCTATCCCAGCGTTTATTTCTCTCTTGGCATCTCCCCATGCTCACATCAGTGAACAAGCTGTATGGGCTCTAGGAAACATTGCAGGTACTTCCACTTAAAATTTTTTTGACTGAATATATCTAATCATAATGAGGTGGGAGAAGGGCTGTGTTACAAGTTATAGTGACTTGTGTGTCAAGTTTTGATCTTGCTTCTGGCCCTTATTAGGGATGAGAGAGGCATCTAAAAAAGGCACCAGAGAGGCATCTAAGTAAGTTAGGGAGTTTCTGAGGATGTATTCAGTCACTGAGTGTTGATGGTGCTGGACCTGCAGATGTGATTAATCTTGCTTTCGTTTCAGGTGATGGTTCAGTTTTCCGAGACTTGGTTATTAAATATGGTGCAGTGGACCCACTGTTGGCTCTTCTTGCAGTTCCTGATATGTCAACTTTAGCAGTAAGTTACTAACATTAAGTAAAGCTACTTGCATTTTATTCTGATTTCTCCTGCCTTTCAAGACAGGCCCTTATTACTTTTTTCTTTTCCCTCAGTGTGGTTACTTACGTAATCTTACCTGGACACTTTCAAATCTTTGTCGCAACAAGAATCCTGCACCCCCATTAGATGCTGTTGAGCAAATTCTTCCCACTTTAGTTCGCCTTCTGCATCATGATGATCCAGAAGTATTAGCAGATACCTGCTGGGCTATTTCCTACCTTACTGATGGTCCAAATGAACGCATTGAAATGGTTGTGAAAACAGGAGTTGTGCCCCAACTTGTGAAGCTTCTGGGAGCTTCTGAATTGCCAATTGTGGTAAGTTAATCATTAGATTAGAGCATATAAGTAAGGAGGATAACTGATTGATAATATTGAAATATTATTTATTTTCAGGCAATGATGGGACTCTTGCTTGTCAAAACTTTTAGGATAGAGAACTTTTTTTTTTTTTAATATTTATTCTTAAGTTTTAGATGGACACAGTATCTTTATTTTACATTTATGTGGTGCTGAGGATCGAACCCAGTGCCTCGTGTATGCTAGGTGAGCACTCTACCTTTGAGCCAAACCCCAGCCCCAGGATAGAGAACTTTTGAACAATATTGGAAAAACTAAAAGTTAACCATCGGAATTTTTTTCTTTCTTTTTTTTCTTTTTTTTTCTTTTTTTTCTTTCTTTTCAGACTCCCGCTCTCCGAGCCATAGGGAATATTGTGACTGGAACAGATGAACAAACTCAGGTTGTGATAGATGCAGGTGCACTTGCTGTCTTTCCCAGCCTGCTGACTAACCCCAAAACTAATATTCAGAAGGAAGCTACGTGGACAATGTCAAACATCACAGCTGGCCGGCAGGACCAGATACAGCAAGTCGTCAATCATGGATTAGTCCCATTCCTTGTTGGTGTTCTCTCTAAGGTAGCAAAATCTTAGGATTTCTTTATTTATTTATTTTATATACTTTTGGATATTGATGGATCTTTATTTTGTTCATTTATTTATATGTGGTGCTGAGAATCCATCCGGTGCCTCACACATGCTAGGCAAGTGCTCTACCATTGAGCCACAACCTAAGCTCCAAAATCTTAGGATTTAATCAGATAACTGTTGGTATTTATAGGCAGGCTTGCTTGGTAAGATTTTTTTTCTTTCCAGTACTAGGATTTGAACCCAGAGATGCTTTGCCCCAGCTCCTTTATTTTTGTTTCTTTTTTTTTTTTTCCTGGCTCTATTAAGTTGCTGAGGCTGGCCTTTAACTTGTGATCCTCCTGCCTCAGTCTCTCAAGTTACTGGAATCCCAGGCCTGTACCACGAGGCCCAGCAAGATTCTCTCTCTCTCTCTTTTTTTTTTTTTTTTTTTTTAATTTATTTTTTAGTTGTGGATGAGGATGTAATACCTTTAATTTTACTTATATATTTTTATGTAGTGGTAAGGATTGAACCCAGCACCTCACACATGCTAGGCAAATGCTCTACCACTGAGCTACAACCCCAGCCCCACAGCAATAGCCATTAACCCTTTTCACTCAAGGTTGGATAGAACCAGTTGGGTAGTTTTAGGCATTGTTTTTGTGATATCTTATTTCTTTTGACTTTTCTGAAGCAAAACTGTTTTTTTATGTTTATCAGGCAGATTTTAAGACACAGAAGGAAGCTGTATGGGCTGTGACCAATTATACAAGCGGTGGGACAGTTGAACAGATCGTATATCTTGTTCATTGTGGCATAATAGAACCATTGATGAACCTCTTAACTGCGAAAGATAGCAAAATTATTCTGGTTATTCTGGATGCCATTTCAAATATCTTTCAGGTAAGTTCTAACAAGGTGGTATTTGTTTGAGTTTGTTTTGTCATGATCATTTTACTTTTAGACTTGGTGGGGGCAGCTAAGTATACTCAGTAGGCCACAGAAAGCCTGCTGATGTGGAGCCACATTCTCTTTTTTGAAGAGATGGGGTGTCTAGCCAATGCTACTCTTGAATTCCTAGGCTTAAGCCATTCTCCTGCTTTATCCTTTGAGTAGCTGGGACTATACTATACATGTGCACCACCATAGAACAAGGAGATGGGAAAAGGATGATGTATTTGTCTTAAAGTCAGGTTCTTCGGGGGAGATTATCCATACCACATTTTGGTGAAATCAAATTTAAATGATTTATTTATCTAATATTTTTCTTTTGATTCCATCTCTAATTCAACCAAGCATTCCAGCAGCTGGCACTTTGTCATAGTAATTGATGGTAGTTAAGTGCTACTCATTAACTTCTATACTTCTGATTCTGGATATTTTTACATATAGAGTGAAGTCTGGAACAAGGAATGCTAGTGTTCCAGTCTCTGCATGTAAACAATTCATCAGTATGTGGCCAGTGTTCCTAATCACTCATCTAAAATTCCAAAATTATTTTGAAGCAAATCAGTTATGTCATGTGTATATTTATTTATCTCCTAAAATTGAGGACTTTTGAAAGAAATTTAACTTTGCCTGATGTGATATGCCCTACCCATAATCCCAGCTACTTGGGAGGCTGAGGCAGGAGGATCGCAAGTTTGAGGCCAGCTTGGACAACTTGATGAGACACTCAAATTTTAAAAAGGGGCCAGGATTATAGCTCACTAGTAGAGCACCCCTGAGTTCAATCCCTAGTAACCACCCTAAACTCCATACCACAAATATTCCTATCAGAGAAATCTGTTTTTAGCACATCCATGATAAGCCATGTTTGTCCATAGACAGTGATTTTTTACCTTCACTACACTTTGAGATTATCTAGGGTGTTTTTACAGAGGAATATTTCTGTTTCCAGTGCAGACTGATTGAACTCGAATGTGGTATTGCTTTAGTAATTGCCCATGTGATTTTGATGTACGGAAAAAGTTGCAATCTAAGATCTCTAAGATCTCTGTGGCTGACAGCTACAATCATTAGTAGGCTAAGAGATCTGATCACCTTGAAAATTTCCAGAAAGCGTAAAATGGACATAAAACTATCACAGTGTTGTTGAAGCAACTGTTAAGGGGTTATTTCTGTCTGCTACATATTAGTATGAAAATATGGATATTGTTTTTGGCATTGAAACAACATTCAAGAGTATAGGCCAGTAAACTTTGAATTTTTTTTAGGCTGCTGAGAAACTAGGTGAAACTGAGAAATTGAGTATAATGATTGAAGAATGTGGAGGCTTGGACAAAATTGAAGCTCTACAGAACCATGAAAATGAGTCTGTGTACAAGGCCTCCTTAAACTTGATTGAGAAGTATTTTTCAGTAGAGGTAAGTACTGATCCTTAGGAGGATCCTTAGGAGGCTGAGGCAGAAGGATTACAAGTTCAAGGCAAGCCTGGGCAACTTAGTGAAACCCTGCCTCAAAATACAAATGAAAAGGGCTGGGGATGTAGCTCAGTGGCAGAGCACCCCTGGGTTCAATCCCCAGCACCACAAAAACAAACAAAAGAATAAGTGCAGACTTTTAGACAAGCTATTGCTTAGAAGTGTGCCATGTTTGTTGTTTATAGTATTGTTGTTTTTTTAACATTTTCAGGAAGAAGAAGATCAAAATGTTGTGCCAGAAACTACCTCTGAAGGCTATACCTTTCAAGTTCAGGATGGGACTCCAGGGACCTTTAACTTCTAGGCTGTACAGCTGAGGCATAGTTTGTTGTGTACTATGTTCGGTATAAGTTTGTCTTACTGTTTCTCTACTAAGAGCTCTTTTTAAATGTGGTTTGTTATTGTAGCACTTTTTACAACAAAACTATACTTGAACAGTTCCAAACTGTACATACTGTATGAAACTTGTCCTCTAAATGGGTTTCTTATTTCTATGTGGAATTTCATATCTTACAGTGTCCTGTAAATAAAGATTAAATTCCACCCTTTTCTTTACTTCACCATGCCTGTGTGTGCTTTATAAGTTTAGACTCTTAATTGTAAATGAAGAGTAACCTAAGCTAACCGATGTAACTAACCAGAGGTGATTCCTGGTTGCAGGCATCACTTGATGTCAGGTTTGTGATGTCATCAAAGATATACCCGATTGTTCCTGCCAGATTTTGAGCCTCCTGGCTTTGGTCTAGGATTCTTCCCCTTTTGGTCTTAATGGTTCCTAAGGCTAGTCTAGAACTTGTGATCTTCCTTCCTTGGCCTCCCAGTTTTTAAGTACTGTGATCAGTTTTCTGCTCATTAGATTGGTGGCCAAGATAAGCCAAGTCTCCACTGCTGAAATGTGAAGCACTGACAACTGCTTTTCCCATGGAACCCATGGTGGTGGAGGTGGGGATGTGAGTGTAACAAAAAGTGATTTATGACCTGTAGGGCTACTGTAGTCAGTAAAGAACTGAATATAGTATTTTTGTTGCTACTAGTACACTGCAACAGATTTCCATATACCTTCTCTTGACTACGCGAGAATATTTCCCCCCCTAGTTCACTGATACACACATAAATATCATTTTGCCTTTTTCAGATAACAGGGTTTTTTAAAGTCTTTCAATGGAACAGAATGTTTAAGACTTATCTTGTTAGGGTACAAAGCTAAAGGACACTGGCTAATGCGTATTTAAAATACTTTACACAGCCAAGTTCCCAACAAGGAACACTAAACCTCCATGTTACACGTTTGGAGCCCTGGGTCATTTTCAGGTTTTTCTGTACGAAGATTCCCAAAGGGAGGAGAAACCTTGGCTCTACCTTCCTACCTACTACTCACTTCCCTCCTTCCTTTCCCCAACCTGAGTCCTTTCCTAGAAGCTGGATCTTCAACTTGAGAAAAGGTAATGTAAACTAGGACACTCCAGGTTTCTGCTTTAAGACAGAGGAGCTTAATAACTTCAGGAGGACTAGTCTAGTAGACACACTGATAAGTGTAAGGTCTGGATTTGTTAAACGCATGACTTAATGGTGAGGTCATGGACAGGAGATAGCTAATTTCCAAAAATACATTCCATATTTTAGATAAAATTCTTAACATATTAGTTTCCTTGGAGTTGTTTGAAATCCATAGAAGCAGGGATGTTTTCATTTAACTCATCTGTGGGCCAAGTTTTGTATCTTTGAGAATGACTACATAACAATTTTTTTTTTAGGAATTTAAAATAATTTGTTTTAATTAGTTATAGATGACAGCAGAATGCATTTATGCACTTTGATATATACAAATGGGATAGAATTTCTCATTTTTCCAAGTGTACATGTTACAGAATGATATTGGTCATGTAGTCACATAGATACATACAATAATAATGTCTGTTTCATTCTACTCTCTTTCCTATGCCCACATCCTCTTCCCTCTCCTCCCATCACTTCCCTCTACCTAATCTAAGGTAACGCTATCCTTCCCTAGTGCCCCCTGCTTTATTGTGAATTAGCATCCACATTACAGAAGACATTTGGCCTTTGGTTTTGTGGGATTGGCTTGTTTCACTTAGCATGATATTCTCCAACTCCAACCATTTACTGGCAAATGCATAATTTCACTATGAGTAATATTCCATTGAGCATATATACCACATTTTCTTTATCAATTCATCTATTGAGGGACACCTAGGTTGGTTCCATAGTCTAGCTATTGTGAATTGAGCTTCTATAAACATTGATTTTAAGTCCTTTGGGTATAAACCAAGGAGTGGGGTAGCTGGGTCAAATGGTGGTTCCATTCCAAGTTTTCTGAGAAATCTCCATACTGTTTCCCATAGTGGTTGCACCAATTTGCAGTCCCACCAGCAATCTATTTGTACCATTTTCCCTACATCCTTCCCAACATTGCCTGTATTCTTGATTGCCATTCTGACTAAAGTGAGTAGTTTTGATTTGCATTTCTCTAATTGTTGATCAATTGTATTTCTTCTTTTGAGAAGTGTCTGTTCAGTTCCTTAGCCCATTTATTGATTGGGTTATTTGTTTTTTTGGTGTTAAGTTTTTTGAGTTCTTTATGCTTTATCACAGGTGCATGTGGTAAAGATTTTCTCCCAATCTATAGGCTCTCTCCTCATGTTATTGATTGTTTCCTTTGCTGGGTAGAAGCTTTTTAATTTGAATCCATCCCATTTATTGATTCTTGATTTTACTTCTTGTGCTTTAGGAATCTTGTTAAGGAAGTCAGATCCTAGGCCAGCGTGGTGAAGATTTGGGCCTATTTTTTTCTTCTATTAGGTGCAGGGTCTCTGTTCTAGTGTCTTTGATCCACTTTGAGTTGATTTTTTTGTGCAGGGTGAGAGAGAGATGTTTAATTTCTTTTTTGCTACATATGGATTTCCAGTTTTGCCAGCACCATTTGTGAATGTTTTTGGCACCCTTATCTAGTATGAGATAATCGTATTTATGTGGGTTTGTCTCTGTGTGTCTATTCTGTACCATTAGTCTACAAGTCTATTTTGGTGCCAATACCATGCTATTTTTGTTACTATAGCTCTGTAGTATACTTTAAGGTCTGGTATTGTTGTGCCTCCTGCTTCATTTTTCTTGCTAAGGATTGCTTTATCTATTCTGGGTCTGATTTTTCCAAATAAACTTCACAACTGCTTTTTCTATTTCTATGAAAAATGTTATTGGGATTTTAATAGAAATTGCATTAAATCTGTATAATGCTTTTGGTAGTATGCCCATTGACAATATTAATTCTGCCTATCCAGGAGCATGGGATATCTTTCTATCTTCTGAGGGTTTTTTTCTGTGGTTTTCATTGTAGAGGTCTTTTATCTATTTTGTTAGATTGATTCCTAAGGTTTTTTTTTTTTTTTTTTTTTGAGGCTATTGTGAATGGAGTAGTTTTCCTAATTTCTCTTTCAGTGGATTCATTGCTGATGTATAGGAATGCATTTGATTTATAGGTATCTTCTGGTGGAATTTTTTGGATCTTCTAGATACAGAATCATGTCCTTAGCAAATAGTGATAGTATGAGTTCTTCTTTATCTATCTGTTTCCCTTTAATTTCTTTCTTTTGTCTAATTGATCTGGCTAGATTTTCAAGGATGATGTTGAATAGAAGTGGTGAAAGAAGACTTCCTTGTCTTGCTCCAGTTTTTAGTGGGAATGTTTTCAATTTTTCTCCATTTAGAATTATGCTGGCCTTGGATTTAGCATATATAGCTTTTACAATATTGAGGTATGTTCCTACTATCCTTAGGTTTTCTAGTGTTTTGAACATGAAGGGTGCTATATTTTGCCAAATGCTTTTTCTACATCTATTCATTTATTTTTATGTGATGCTGTGGATTGAACCCAGGGCCTCGCCGGTGCTAGGTGAGCACTCTACTGCTAAGCCACAACCCCAGCCCCTTTTCTACATCTATTGAGATGATCATAAGATTCTTGTTTTTAATTCTATTAATATGATGAATTAACATTTGTTGATTTCTGTATGTTGAACCAACCCTGCATCCCTGGTATGAACCCACTTGATCATGGTGCACTATCTTTTTAATAATTTTTTTATGTGATTTGCCAGAATTTTATTGAGAATTTTTACATCTATGTTCATCAGGGATATTGGTTTTCTTTCCTTGATGTGTCTTTGTCTGGTTTTGGTATCAGGGTAATATCCTCATAGAAAATGAGTTTGGAAGGTTTCCCTTCTTTTCTATTTCATGGAATACTTTGAAGAGTATTTGTGTTAATTCTTCTTTGAAAGTCTTGTAGAACTTGACTGAGAATCTATCTGGTCCTGGCCTTTTCTTGGTTAGTAGGCTTTTTATGGTGTCTTCCATTTCATTACTTAAAATTGATCTGTTTAAATCATGTATGACCTCCTCATTCAGTTTGGGTAGGTCATATGTCTCTAGAAATTTATCAATGTCTTCGTTATTTTCTATTTTATTAGAGAATAAATTTTCAAAATAGTTTCTAATTATCTTCTTTATTTCAGTTTTTTCCATTGTGATATTTCCTTCTTCATCTTGTATTTTAGTAATTTGAGTTTTTTCTCTTCGTTAGCATGCCAGGGGTTTACCTATTTTATATATTTTTTCAAAAACCAACTTTCTGTTTTGTCATTTTTTCTTTTGTTTCGATTTCTTTGATTTCAGCTCTGATTTTAATTATTTCCTGTCTTCTACTGCTTTTGGTGTTGATTTGTTCTTCTTTTACTAGGACTTTGAGATGTAGTGTTAGGTCATTTATTTGTTGACTTTTAATTTTTTTAATGAATGCACTCAACACAGTAATCTTTCCTCTTGGTACTGCCTTCATAGTGTCCTAGAGATTTTGACATGTTGTATCAGTGTTCTCATTTACCTCTAACAATTTTTTTTATTTCATCCTTAATTTTTCTACTATCCATTCATCATTCAGTCATGTATTTTTTTAGTCTCTATTTGTTACAATAGCTTCTTTTTTATTTTATCATTGATTCCTAATTTTATTTTATTGAGGTCTGATAGAATGCAAGGTATTATCTCTGTTTTTTTGTATAGAGTTGCTTTGTGGCATAAGATATGGTCTATTTTAGAGAAGGATCCATGTGCTGCTGAGAAGAAAGTATATGTGCTTGTGGATGGATGAAATATTCTATATATGTCTGTTAAGTCTAAATTATTGATTGTATTATTTAGTTCTATAGTTTCCTTATTTAGTTTTTGTTTGGAAGATCTGTCCATAGTGAGAGAGGTGTGTTAAAGTCACCTAGTATTATTATATTGTGGCCTATTTGACTCTTGAAAAAAAATTTTTTTTCAAAGAGAGAGAGAGAGAGAGAGAATTTTATTTATTTATTTATTTATTTATTTATTTTTTTAGTTTTCGGTGGACAACATCTTTGTTTGTATGTGGTGCTGAGGATCGAACCCGGGCCGCATGCATGCCAGGCGAGCGCGCTACTGCTTGAGCCACATCCCCAGCCCTGACTCTTGAAATTGAGAAGGATTTTTTTGATGTACATAGATGCTCAATTGTTTG